CTCATGCCAGATCACACCGATATCGGGCATGCGAAAACGCAGAGAACACATTGTCTGGTGCCAGAAGAAATCCTCAACCGTGGCAACCAGATTGCAGAGCGGTGGCGCGGCTGGTGATCCCATAGCGACTCCCCGTTCTTGGCGGAACAAGTATCCGTTGATCTCGAAGTGACTGTTGTCAATGACAAAGTCCAGAAGGTGCCGGAGATCTTGTTCATGAAAAGTTCGAGGGATCTTTGTTTGACGGCGCCATTTTCCTTTGAACATACGGCGTCGATGATCAGACTTTACTTCGAACACTGACCATTGAGAGGATCTGCGAAGGCCAACAACTTGATCGTACCGATGGAGAAGCACCTGTAGTGCCTGGTGGAAGCGTTCCGTAGGAATGGACGTGAAGAAGCCTGACAGGTCTTGTGACACCAGGTGGATGTATTCATCGGGATCTGCCTTTGACAGCGACTCCCACAGCTGCTGGACAAGTTCTTGTACTGAAAGTTGACCTGCAATGTCGGGAAAAGTAGCTTTGGTAAGTTCAAATATGAGGGCGCCGAAGACCGTGAGGAAGGGAGCTGCCCACGTGCGAAAGAATGAAATGATGGGTCGTGCTTTCTGCCAGTCCTTGGTCGGCTTTGGAAGGATGCGAGCTGTGGGCAACGGTGCTTGAAGTCGAAGTCCCCATGCATATCGCTGACGTAGGAGGGAAGGTACCGTAGTCACCACTTCAGAGCGAAAAGATGCTGCGGATTCACGGCAAAGCGAAAAGACATCTCCCGAGCAGAAGGTCTTCCGCATCAGTATGGCAAACAGGGACGGACAAATCACATGTGCGCGGGAGGGGAAATGATCCGCGGGGATTACAACCCACGATGACAGAGAAGCCACGGTGCGCTGCAACGATGTCGATGACCAATAAGCACGATCTTGAAGGTTAGCTCGATGAGTGTCCATCAACTGAGTCAAAACCGGCTGCAGATCAACAAGAAGACTGGAACCATGCACATGCCAGCGACGAGCAAGTTTGCGAAGTTGCGTAGTGAAACGTTGATGTAACAAGTCGACATCACCGAAATACTGATCCTTCATTGACGCGGCCATGATTTCCATGTCAATGTCCGCATTGATGCGTGAGAACTCATCAACCATTACAGCATGTCCATGTGCTCGGTGTATATGGTGATCATCGATGTCCAAACAGCGACACGGAAAAGATGTTTCAGGAGTCCATCTGCGCTGCCATGTGCGGTAGTTGTAGATCTTGTCGCCCAACGTGGCACTGCGAGTTTCCACCACCCGGATCTTTGGAAGGAAAAGGGAGGGAAACAAATCACGATGAGAAGTAATCCAGCTTTGTAACCATGTGCCAAGTAGAGCTTTCCAATTCCGGACATGTAGAGGCGGTAGGAGTAGTTGTGTCAAAGTGGTGGGTGATTGTAGCTGTCGTTTGCGTAACACCTGGGCGAGGAGTTTCTGCGCCTTGGAGCGGAAGGGCTCGTTGACAAAGACGGAGAGCCGCAGAAAGTAGTAAAGCTGAGTAGGAGGGAAAGCTGCCGACAGAAGGTCACGCATGACTTGGAACGATGCACCTGTATTGGATCCCAGCTGATAGAGAATAGAGTAATGGGCCTGAATGTCATCCAGCATGTCGGGACGTAGTTGCCGTTGAAGATCCGGATGTAGTCGTCGTCGAAAGCGTTTGTGCAAGCCGAGGGAAGTGGGAGACGACAACGAGTGACGTCGAAAATCAACGAGGTGTTCCCGGAAGCCCACCTTTCGCAGAAGTCTGTGTACCCAGGGTGCATTCAAATGCGGGCGTAGCAGGTATTGCCATTTGCTTTCCTGGACCCAAACCGAGGAAACGGGAAGTTTGATCTCAACCGGAACAGCACAGAAGAGCCAGTAAGTATTGGATCGCTTCCAGTAGTGAAGCGCGGGTTCGAAGAAGGCATGACGTCCCCGAAGTAGTTGTAGAAATTTGCGACTGCGTGAGTGTTCACGTCGTAGAACATCCTGATCAGTCGCACCAACGTAGTAAGGTGTGTGCCATGGGGAAAGTCGGATGTAGACGCACGGTTGTTGATGATGACCTGGATCGTGAATGAAGTCATAGAGGTCCGGAAATCGTGCCCGCAATGAGCGAAGATGTCGCGTGTCGGCAAAAGTGGAGTGCATGATTTCACACAAGAGAGAAGCCTTGTAGAAGTGAAGGACTTCAAAGAACGGCGGAAAGTAGCCATGATCTTGGGAAATGAGACGTTGTAAGAAACTGATCAATAAATAGGCAGTGCACCGACATCTATGAATCTCATACCTGTTGGCCACAGTGTGTTGAGAGTGTGACATAGCGTGATTCGGAATCTGAAGGGCAATCCGGACCACAACTAAGACTTCCAGAATGAGGCCCAACCACGGTAGTTGTGTGATTGATTCGTACTCATCAGCTGGTATCGACGGTGGTGGTAGTCCAGGGAAGCAGTATTGCCAGCACGTAGAGAACATGGTCAACGAGTGTAAAAAGTTGCCCAGAGACTGCCATTGTGCAACATCATCATAGATTCCACAGCGGCGAAGCTCATCCAACATGGTGAAAATGCAACCAATGAAATCTACCATAAGGCGGCGACATGGATACAAGCTGCACAGACAATCACGCACAAGGCAATGCAAGCACAACCAAGCACAAGATCAAACTGATGCAACGCAAAAAGATGACGGACGAGTTTTAACCTTGACTCATCCGTGACACGGTTGCCGCTCCGGGCTCATAAGAGAACGAAGGTCGTTAAGATGCCTGCTCATCCGCTGAGTAAGCGAGCGGTCACGATGAGGTGACTCAATGCCTTCTCAGTGAGCTTGGTGAGATAGCCGGGCTCCAGTCCCCACGAAGCCGCCATCGCCCCGAGAGTAGGTGCGTCGCCTTTCGGCATGCGTTGACGCGCTTGAAGGAGCTGCGTCGCCATGGAATCTAATGACTTGTTGCCGTTGAGCCGGGACGGGTGATTGGCCCACTTGACCAGTGACGTCAAAGTCGTGGTTGTGGGCGATTGCTTGAGATAAAGGCGTGGCTGGTCACTGGTCCATGTGTAGTACTTGACAACTTCTTCCGGCGTGCTGTGCATGGTGAGCAATTGTGACGCCGCCGGCTTGGACGGCGGTGAAGACACTCCGTGAAGAGACTGAATGATCCGGGGTTGCACCGCGCTATCAAACGACTTGCCATCAAGGGCCGCTGCGCTGACTGTAGGGAGGGAGCTGGCAGGTGACGAGGATTGTGTGTGGTTGACCGGTGGCGGTGTAACCAACTCTGCATCATCTTTCTGGCTTGCCATCGTGGGAGAGGTCGAAGCGCGCAGCGATGCTGAATACTGAGCCTGGAGCAGCTCATGCGCACGATTTAGATCATTGTACTTCTTGACCATGTCATCTGTCTGGGTGGAAGGTGTGAGAGAAGCGTGGTGTTGCTGAAGAAATTGAAGTACCAAGCTGGCCAAATGGTCATGAACCTTGATCCGCTGATTGAAGTCATCGATGTTGAGACCCAGCGAGTTGGCAAGGTCCTTTTCCAGGGTGAGCAGGTTGATCGACTGTGATCGTCGTAGTAGTTTGGAACAGGTACTCCAAAGTAAGGCCTCGGTGCGAGTGCGAAAGCCTTCCCACGTCACGAATCTGCCGTGAGCGAACGGTCGGAGCAGCCAGTTGGTGAGGCCCCCATGAATAACCTGAACCAGGCGAACGTCACGAATATCCATGCCTGACATGTCGCGCAGGTTGCCATGCGGAGTGTTGGCAACGGTCATGGGCAGGCTGAAGTTGTAGAGCTGATTGACATCAAACATGCCCTCTCCAGGTGTCCAGTCAGGCGATGGTGTAAGCCAGGCTTTCTGAGGACGAACCGGTAGAGCCGCAGGAGGTCCAGGTGGCGGTGTAGGTTGCGGGGTAGTGACCGGTGGTGGCATCACGGGTGGCATGAACTTCGTTGGCGTGGGGTCTGGAGGGATCGGCATCATGTAGTTGATTGCTGGATGTTGGAATTGCTGTGTGGGACTATGAGTCGATTGAAAATTGGTGGGCATCATCGGGAAATTGTTGGCAGAGTTGTAGCCGGAATTGTGTTGCCAAGATACCAGGTTGTTCCAATCCATGCCTTCCGAGACGTGGTGGTCATTGTGTTCACGTCGGTGTGCTTTACGAGCCTGAGGAGAAGTACTCCGATCACGTCTGCGCCGAGTCCTGGATCTATCACGATCATCACGTCGAGACATGGTTACACAATCGACTCTCAATCTTCACGCTTCCATCTTGAGAGACACGTATCAGACAACAAGCAAATCCATGCAACGGCAAGGTATCAACGAATCCAACAAATGGCAAGCAAACGCAAACATCAGTGGTGAGACGTCTCTATGATCTGACCGCTGTCTTCCCTTTAGTGAAACCTCGTTCCTGGTTAAATGTGAAATTCCGCTGTTCTATGATAAGCACGTTGAGGTCAAATTTTCCGACAGAGCCGGCCCGGGGTCACACAATGGGTACACCCGAGGATTCCCCACGAATGGGGTGTACACACTTAAACTCCAAATGGAGAGTGCTAATCTTTCGAGTACAACTGATGAGTCTCGAGTACAACTGATAAGTCTCGAGTATGATGAGGTTCGACTCGCATAACGCTTGGCTTCCCTGTAGTTACTTTAACAGGGACACACAGAAGCAACGGCAGTTCAGGGGGGGACCAAAAGGACATTCAGAACAACACAACCATCTCGGCAGGTACGTCTGACTGATCAGGTCAGATATCAGCGCAGGTCACGACCCTCTTCGTTGGGTCACCGGTCGTGACTGCGGGTGACCCCCCTGCTGAGAAACCGAAAGGGTGGTGACAGGGCATTCTGTCACTCCGCACACACACACACACACTTTTGTTCCTTGACCAACCTTCCTACCACCCCAAAGCCCACGGCCTCCCAACTCCCAACTCCGAACTCCCGACACCGCCGAGGTACAGAAGCGGTACCGCTCGAAGGCGCGCCTCCGCGTGTCCTCGTCGCCGTCGTCGGTGTAGACGTGCTCCGGCATCAGCTCCATGGCCTCCCGCTAGGGATTCCAGAAGCGGCGGGCTGACCCCCCATGTCTTCTTGTTGTTTCCTGAAAAAAAGAATAAGAAGAAAGAAAGAAAGAAAGAAAGAAAGAAAGAAAGAAAGAAAAAACACCCGAATTTTAGGACAAGAAAGCCGATCAAATAAGCTTGCTTGCAAGTTGATTTACAGCCGCTGATTGAAGAGGCCCGGACTTCTGCACGGAATGTGATACCACCAGTTCTCCTGCCTTTTCTTCTTCCTAGTTAAACGGCACGACAAAGAGCGCAGAAGAACATACTCTTGCTGTTTTCGCTTTTTTTTCATGCCCTGAAACCAGTTGAAATTCTGTCAATAATCGTACTAATTCCAAATATTAACTAACTTGAAACAAAACAGGCATTAGGTTGCCTGTGAGGAATCGTCGCAATTAACAACTGTGTTGACAACTCGTCTCTGAGTGCATAATATGAACGCGACGATGCGATGTTCAACTTCTGTTCTGCAGATTCTGCAGCGCTTTCCTGATTTGATCTGCACGTCTTTGCGAAGAAAAAAAGGACTGTCGCTCACACCTCAAAACTCCAGACCAACTCTCTTCAAGAACATCTGGCTATTTGTCTGCTGGCAGGTCAGCTGTCAATAACGTGCCTGCTATATGTGATCTACTGGCTTTACAGACTAGATTGATGCCGTATAGACAAAATAGCACGAAATCTGATATTTTGGTGCAATGTGAAGCGATCTTCTGAAGATGCCCGGTCTTCTCAAAACAAAGCCCAGATCATTACAAGTAGGAGTGCTTCGCTGCATGATGCTCTTAAATGTTTGTTAAAGTTTCACTTTTACTAATTGAAACCACCACTAAACCATCTAGAAAGCTTAAAACCTAAGTTGACCCGGATGGCTGGGAGCCAGTCGTGTAATTGTCCAGTGCGGTTTCATCCACGACAGGTCCGCCTCGGCTGGGATCGTGACCTGGGCATCCTGAAAATCCTGGAAGTCCAGGGCTTGGGCGATCCCCCCAATCGATGGGATCTTGGGGTGGACTGGCTATCTCCATGTGGATTTTGGGGTCAAAACCGTGTTGGGATCAACCATTTTGGGGTTGGTGTTCGGTGAAGTCACCCACCCATTTTAGATAGCCTATTTTAGTGGTTGGATTGAATCGGATGTTCACTGGGGGACGATTTGGGTTTTGACCCTTGGCCAAATCACAAGCACTGGAGAGAAAGGCATTGGCGAAACCGTGGAAGCCCCAAAATATTGGGTTTCCACGTCGTTTCCGTGTAAAGCCACAAAAAATCACGGGGACCCCCCCCAAAAAAAAGAAAGAAGAAAAACGAGCCACCCATCGATTTTCACGCAACATACCTACCTTCAAGGGCAGCTCTGAAGCTCCGGTTTTCCCGTTTCCGGGTTCCGTTTCCGGGCGCCTGCCGGTGGATCTCGGTGGCCAAGTCATCCCACCTGCGGCATGGTGAGGCCGTTTCCTCTGGCGAGCTGAGGGCCCAAAACGAGCGAAAGCCACATCCCTTTACTTGGGGATCCAATTCGTATTTCAGGTTTTGAAGATATTGGAAACACCTTCTGCAGAAATACTAGTCCGACGAGCCAGAAGTGGAGTGACTCGTGACTCGTGACTAAGAGTGACATGCGAACAGGAGCCATAACCTTCCCCCGCGTCCCCTTATTGGACTTGCGTTGGTTCCCTCGTACAGAAAATTCCAAGAAACAAACGCAGAATGAAGGGACCCCGCACCCAATTAAGAAACCTTCATGGGTGAGCTCGTCCCTCCGACCTCCCCCCATTCGAAAATTGCGCTGTATATGGCTAGCTCCCTTGATTGGCAACGTCTAAAAAGACGAAGCGAAGTGCAGAAACGCAGCTTCCATGGTGGGGGGGGTATGGGGGGGCGGGAGGGATAGTGGTTGGGTGGTTGGGTGTTAGCGGAACCCAAAATTGACAAACGTCTGGTTGATTCAATGGGTGATTTTTTGTATGGGTCAAAATCAAACCACCAGGGGACCGCAGGTTCCAGTCCATGTTTCCATTTACCAGGGTTCCATTTTGGGTACCTATTTTTGACCCACAGCCACATGAGGCACGGTCAAGATGATTTGTTTCCCACGAGAATCCCTGAGCTTTTGGGTATTGTGGAGAGCTCGTGCCGCCATACTCCTCTCAAAGCCATAGACAAATCAAACGAAAGCTTGGGACCTCAGAAGATGTCTGTCCCAAAGTAGGGGACTGCTTTCTGGAGGTTGACCGGGAAACCAAAAAGGAACCCCCCACCGGTCCCTGAGTTTGAGGAACACCCATATAAGTCACTTGCTCAAAACCCTTTGTATTAAAATGGTCGTAATCCCAGAACCAGGCTTCAAGAATTTTCAGAAGGCGGAGATCCGCAACTATTTCCGGCTGGGACTGCTCCTTACTAACAATCATCTACCCGGGTTTTGATTGTGGCTCATATGAGGATAATCACACAAACCCATGGCAGAAATATTCTAGCAAACCTCGTGTTGAGGCCCTTTTGCCGTGGTGGGATCAGGTGATACCAACGTGGTTGATTCCCATCCCTCTGACAAAGCATTGTGGATGGACGAAATCCTGCACCACCTAAGAAACCCTGGAAGGATGAGTCTCCTGCAAATACCAACAGACAATGGTTTCCCATGGTTTTCAAGTGGTGCAGGGGCTTCCTTTGCTAAAGAAAGTTGCACAACCAGTTCTTCACCGGCCAGGCTTAAAACAAGAAACAAGCCAACCTGATGTCTTGGTGAAGAAAGTAGGACCGAAACCCGAATTGCCGGTAAAGAAACAAGGGATCCAACCTGATGAAAGAAAATGGCCCTAAAACCCCATGGTCCACCACCTTGGCCATGCCTAGGCCCGGCGACCCCAACTGGCCCGGCCTTTGAGGGGAGGGCATCAGCACGGACAGCAGCTCGGTCTTGCCGGCCATGGTGCCGTCCAAATCGTCGGGCACTCGGAACTCGGAGATGTTCTCCAAGAAGAGCACCTGAGTCACTTGCTCAAAACCCGGCATTCGATTTTTTTTGTAATCCCAGAACCATGCTTCAAGAATTTTCAGAAGGCGGAATTCCGCAACTATGGCTGGGAGTCTCCCTTACTGACCACCTGGGTGTGTCTTTTTTTGAGGGGCCCTTTTGTTTGGTCGTCTTTAAAGGAACACCAAAAGGAAAACCACCACTTTGTTGGGTCCCCATCATCTACCCGGGTTTTGAGCAAGTGGCTCACCTCACAAAGTGAAATAGGCACCCCGACCTCCCCCCCTACGAACGAATTTTCGAGGAAAATAAATGGAATTGTTCCCAATCCCCCTTTTAAGGATCGATTTATATCAATATGAAAGGGAAACAGCAAGTTTTGCGGGGGTACTCTTGAAGAAGCGGCCCTAAAGGAAAGGAAACTGACAAAGTCGCCGCAAACAGCAGGGTTCAAAAGGAGAATGAAGAAGATAGGTAAATGTTAACTAGTTGTCTGGTTTACATGCTGACTCTAAGACACTTCCTGACGGGTAAAGATGGGCATGTAAACTCAACCAAAAAAATCCTCATAAGATAGCAATTACATGGCATATCTTGGAGAGCGAATGTTCGATCCTAATGTCTCTCCCCCATCCCTTGCTGTCTATTCCTCAGAAGGATACGTCCAAACTCCACCGTCACTAGGGAAAGGATCCTCAAGATCAGCAGGTGATTTGTGACCAAAATGTATCCTTGGCACCGTGTAAGTCTAAACCAATTGTCTTTTTGCTGGGTGATCACTTAACTGAGAGATGCTGGTTTATTTAGTTTCTACTGGAACTCCTCCCGGGATGGCCTAAAGTGGAAACCACCAGGAAACAAACCTGGCTGTGAGGGGTCCCATACGGATGGGACTGGCCACACCCAGCTGAAGCGGAGGCATCTCTGGTGAACAACGCCCGAAGATGCAAAATCGGTGGCCGTTGATCTTGTTTTAGGGGTGGCGCCACATAGCTGGCCCCCACCCATGGCCGAAACAAGGGGGGCCTAAAAGGTTCAAACAGCGCTGTGAAGTGCGCATAAGCAACTCATATGTGGCCATGGGCCAAATCCGAATCGTACCCCCAGTGAACCTCCCAATCCAACCACTAAAATAGGGTTCGCCTAAAATGGGCGGTGAATTCACCGAACACCACCAAAATGGTTGATCCCAAAACGGTTCAACGACAACCACAGCCATATGTGACTCTTCCCCCATTGGCCAGAGAGCCAGGGGAGCCCCAGTTCGGATGGGTTAGGGAAACCAAAGGCCCAACCAAAAGACGCAGCTATATGACTTTTAGCAGGGTCACTGGAACCCCCTCACCTCTCTTTCACCCGAAAAAAAAAAAAAAAAAAAAAAAAAAAAAAAAAAAAAAAAAAAAAAAAAGCAGGAAAACGGGTGGCTTGAACCAAGATGAGCCCCGGGCCGGGCCCTGTCGGCTCCGGAAGGGCACGAAGGAGCGGGAGTCGGTGAAGACATAGTCCACCTCCCCTGAAAAAAAAACTCCGCGCCCCTCGTTTGGTTTGGATCGATGGATCGGTGAAACGGAGGGCTAAACCCCCAGTTACCCCATTTGCAAGAACCGGTCCACCCATCCAAAACACGAAGTACTAAGTTGGTAGCCTGAAAACCCCGCCAAGTGGGTGATTTCCCATCTACCCACAAGAACCAGGGAAATCAAGTCCAAATTTCCAGTTGACCTGAAGGTCCACTGCTCCCAGAGCAAGGTGAGTAAGATGGGAGGGCCCAGAAAGCGTCTGCTCCGAGGAAACAGGAAACAATGCACCCGCGAAACCCCAAAACCCGGAGCCGCAGAAAGGGCCTCAGGCTTCCAACTTTCACAAGTTGGTTAAGCCGAAAGGCAGCGAATGAAAGCCTCTTTTCAGGCAGGAACCCCCGGCACCAAACGGCAATGGAAGGCCCCCCTCCCCAAAAAACCCCAGAAAGAACCGAACGGCAATGGAAAGCCCCGCCCCCCCCAAAAAAAAAAAAAAAACGGCTGGAAACCCCCCCTTCCCCAAACAAAAATACACCAGCATAGACCCCAGATAGCGAAGTCACTTTCCCCTCTTGGTTAGAAGTTAGAACCCCATATAGCTTTCAGCTATCTGGGGGAAAACCCCACCAAACAAATATACAGATATATATATATATATACATATATATATATATATATACATATATATATATATATATTAAAAAAAAAAAAAAAAAAAAAAAAAAAAAAAAAAAAAAAAAAAAAAAAAAAAAAAAAAAAAAAAAAAACGGAATCCCGGCGAAAAGGGGCGAGGAGGGGGCCCCCAGGCCGAAGCCGCCTGCGAGCTCTCCGGGGTTTGCGCCGGCCAGGTCCTTGTGGTCCAGCCACACCACGCGGCAGACCCGGCGCTCCTGAGATCAAACCCCTGGCGGCTTGGGTGTTTTCTTGGCTGGGGGTTGGTTTTGGTTTGGGTTAGATTGAATTGATTTTTGGCTTGGTTTACGGTTGGGTTGGTGTGGGTTAGTTCGAGGTGGTTCGAGTTGGTTCGAGTTGCTTCGAGTTGGTTTGGGTTGGTTTGGGTTGGTTTGGTTTGGATTCTTTGGATTGGTACTCTGGGTTGGTGTGGGTTGGTTTGGCTTGGGTTGGTTTGGGCTGGATTGAGCACACCTTCCCATTTGAGTCAAGACGAAAGTACCGATTCAAACCGCCTAAACAAGGGAAACATCAAAACGATAACGCGGAAATTAACAAGTAAAACGTCAACCGTCCAATCCGACAAGCAAGCCACCCGCAAACAATGGCAGGTGACCTCGCCGCAAAGCAGCAAGTATCACTTGCCAGAATGCTTGTCCCAGCTTTCCCTTGGTGGGCATAGAGAAAATCAGTTTTAACCAGAGCCGTGATGACTTCCAGTGGCGATGAGATGCTCCCAAAGCTACCTTGTTTTCCAGGTCCGAAAGCAGACATTTGGGCTTCAGCACGTAGTGGATTCCTCCCGTGTTCCTTCTGAGAATGTGTAAAACAGGGCCCTTTTCATGGATGACCTCCTTTGCCATAAAGGGATGACCCAAACACCCAAACCCACGCGGGCGCGCCGGACCGGGTCGGTCTCCACGAGCTGTGGCTAGCTTCATGCCCACGGTTTTCACTTCATGACTCAAGAGGAGATATTCCGGGACTCCTCTGCTTTCACCGGGAGGCTTTTTTTTGCTCCCAAGGGAACACGGCCATCCCGCCAAAAAAGGCCGTCTGTGTGTGTGTGTGCGTCTCATGCGCCCAAACCCCAACACAGGCCTGAGCTCCTCCCCCCCCCACTTCCCCGGCCACGGTCTCCGGGTCCGGGGGACTGCCCAAGCCATGGATGGCCACCTGACGTGCAGCTGGGGCGGCTTCTTTCTCTATTCGCCCCGGTGGTTTTCGACTCACCCTGGTTCACCAAAGGCTTCCAGGTGCAAATCTAACCCAGCTCGGAGAGCAAAACTTGAAGCCGGGCTGAAAGGTCGAAATCAAAAAGCAGATTTCGGCGGCGTTCCCCTTCGCCGGCAGAAAGGGAATCTATCTACTCCAACATGGAACCTGCCTGGGGTGTCTTGGTGGCCATTTTTCGAGGAATAGTTGGTGGGTGTTATGTTAGCGGACGCGAGGGCAAATAAACGATGTCAAAGTTGGCACCACGTCCTTTCCGTCGGCAAGAATGGGGGATGACCCCAAGCGAGGAGTTTCACCCAGCGGTCTGCCTCAAAATGACGAAATACGCTTTGGATTGGCTTTTGAACGGCGAAGAGAAAACGTGTCCCAGATCCTTCCCATGAAACGGAATCTGAGGCAACCAGCAAGGTAGTGCACCTCACGTGCGTAGGAACTTCAAGATCAAGGGGTTTTCCCAAACGGTCGCACGGTCTTGATGTTGACCACGGATGAATAAGCCCCTACGTATTGATATGAGTATGGCTCAAAATTAAGCCACCAGGGGACCGCAGGTTGTAGTCCATATGTCCATTTGCCTGAATTCCATTTTGGGTACCTATTCTTGACCCACTGTATCACTTTGGAGGGGAACACCCCCATATTAACAGGGCTTTATGCACCCGGGGTCAACATTCAGGGGAAAGAGGCCCCTTCAGCTGGCATGAGTTGCCAACTCCCCGTCCAACTGATCAGCTCAATGCCTCGTGGATCCGCCCGCCAGCCCCAGAGCTGCAAAAGCCCCTCAATACTTGTGGCAACCACACTTTCGACCAGACCCCCAGTGCAACCGGTGGGGAAAAAGGAGTCCTCTTTTTGGGATACCCTCACTCCCACGTTGCCATGGCACCTGAGGGGTTTGTAGAGGACATGTGTCTTCCAGGCACCCTCCAGGTGCCTTCTGTTGAGGTAGGGTTGAGCCACCCACTCCAAACTCCACTCTAACCCCCCCACCAACCCCATGGGGCCCACTCCAAAACTCCACTCCAACCCATAAACCCCCATCAACCCCATGGGGCCCACTGCAAAACAAACTCCACCCCAAACTCCACCCCAAACCCACCCCAACCCCCACAAACTCCACCCCAAACCCACCCCAACCCCCACCAACTCCAACCCCCCCACCCCCAACCCCCACCAAGCCCACGGAAAGGGGGGGAAGAAAAAGAAGAAGCAGAAGAAAAAAAACGCGGAAGCCCCCCGCCCAGTTCTTGCGGTGTCCCCTCTCGCTCCCCTCATCCGCCTGCACATCCAGACCCTCGATCTCACACTCGGAGCGCCAGGCAGAAGCTGCCGCCAGAAGGCCCAGCCGGAGGCCCATGCCGCGGCTCGCAGATGGGGTGGCAGGGGGGCAGGGGCAGCTGGGTCGCTCGGCTTTTGTGGCTTAAGGTTTATTTTGTACGGCTCGGTACCCCTTTTGCTTGGCTTTGAAGGGCTTTTTTTGCTTCGTTTGTTTTTTTTGGGCGGCTCCGTGCCCCTTTTTGGCTTTAAAGTTCGCGATCGGTGCGATAAGTAGGGAATGAGCGAGACCGGACGGTTGGGTCTGTCCTAGGCTCGCTACCCTTTTCAACCCTTGGTATGGGCTTGCAAAAAACTGGTTTGCTTTTTGCAGCCCCCAAACCTAAAAAAGAATCAGAAAACGGAAAAACTTGATCCAACAAAAGTGAAGTACCCCCTTTTTGGTTTCGAAGGGAAACCAAAAGGAACACCCAAGCCGCGCAAGAAGGAGCCTCCGGCGCTCTTTCGCCTGTTCGGGATGTTGTGACAGGGCTGGTTGGTTGGGAATGGGAGGGGGGGGAGCGGGTTAGCTGCGAATGGCTTGAAGTTGGGGAGGCTTGCGGCTTCCCTCGCCTTTTCGGCACTGCGGCTCTTGTGCGGGGCTTCCTTCGATCCAAGCTCAGCGACTCGACGCTCAGAGTCTTGCGCCCAAGCTTCTGGCTTCTAGGCACCTGAAACCCACGACTTGGAGCGAGGAAAGGGAAAAGGGCATGGTTCTCTCCGATTCTTGACCTTCCAATCAAGTTGGTATCGAGTTTAGCTGACAGGTCCAATCCCCCAAAGAATGCAGGCAAGGCCAACTGCCAAGTCCTACATGCCCGACTTATGTGAGGAGTCTTCAAATCAGGCGGGAAAAACCAAGGGGAACTGAATCTCTATCAGCTTCCCTCAAAGTTTTACGTTGGAGTTGGCCCCAATATTCAAAGGAACCCAGTCTACCGTCGGTTCTTTTGAAGGATATGCCACAAACCAATCCAAAGGAAGGGGGGCCTGAGGCCAGGACGAGCAAGAAATAAGAACGGATCAGCAAGGTTCAGAAGTTCAGAACGGAAACATCGAATGCCAATAGCCCCCTCCTGAGGTCTTTTGACAAGACCTGCTCCCGAAAAAAAATGCGGCTGTGCCTGAAAGTTCAGGCACAACATATCAGAATCTGCCGGCAATACTTCTCTGGAGGTTTCCAGCCCAGCAAGATCAAACATCGGACACCAAGGGAAGAAGCCATGGACAGTTTCCTGGACGGGTGTCTTCTCTTTCCAGGGCACACCTCCTTGTCATCAATGCTCTACATGTTTGGTTCGCCAGCCATCCGAGACTCCCACTGGTGTTGCCTCACTTCGTGTAACCAAACAAACGCGTGTAGCAACGTTTCTGTCGTTCACGCAAGTGAGATTACAGCGGACAGCTGCCTGTTTCAATCCTAAAGATGTGCTGGACTTGCTCTCACGCAAAGCCCTCGGCCAGTTTTTGTTCTCGCCCTGGGCCGGATCGTCTCTAGCTGTGGATTGTCAACATCTACGCTCCAGGGATCCTTCATTTTCAGGAAACCGTCAAAAACACAGGGGAACCAGCCGGTTTTCGAAAAGTACGATGGAAATGAAAAGAATGAAATCAGAATCAACCCCTAGAAAGAACAACGCACAAGCTGAGCAACCTGGTGACAAAACCTCTGAGCTGGGGCCCAGCAGAGCAGCTCTATCAAGCCCTCGCTTGGAGGAGCGAGATGCCGAAACCGCCAAGTGAACGATGCTCCCCTCCAAAATAGACTTGGAACCCCAAAAAGAGTCTAAAACAAGGAGTGCGCGAATGGACGATGCATAGCAAGCTCTCCCGGAGAATCGTTATCTAAGATGATAGGCTCCGAGAGCTTTATCCATGTATCAGCATTATGTGTGTATATATATATATATATATATATATATGAGTTACATATAGATATATACATGTGTGTGTGTGTGTTTGATATATTTTGGTGGCTTGAATGATCTGCAAAGTGCAGCTTCAGATGGGAATCTGGGAGATACCGCAGCCTACCCACAGATCGATTCGCTCACGCGAGCTCAGTGCAAAGGCCCGAAACCTGACGAAGGCGTCAGCGCGCCCAGCGAATGAATTTGTTGGATCAAAACAACTGGATACACCTCTGCTAATCTGGGTGAACTACAATGTTTCACCAACCTGAAAATTGGTAGTTGGGGACCAGCATTTGGGGTGAATTCGGTCGTGTGAGGTCGTTATGATATTCACCCAGGTTCATCAACGGTTCGGTTCACAAATCCTTTGCGTTGGGGCATGGACTGCCCATGAGCTGGGCGCGTGCTAGGTGCCAGTCGGTTCAAGCTGGTGATTGGAGTTCAGCTTACCCCAAAAGTCAAGCAGACTTGCACTTCAGCTGCAGACTTGTGTCCAGGAAACCAAGCATGCACACTTCAGGAAGCGAATTCCAGAAGTGGACTTTTGGATGTTGCAACTCTTGGAAACAAGTGCTTGGTCAAATGAGCTGCTCAACTGCAAAGATCTCTTCAAAAACCCTTTTGCTGTGCCCATGCTCCCCATGTTCCAAACCCAAGGCCGCGGTTTCCTTTCTGAGCCTGGAGGCATCGATCCCGTTCCTCTGCCTGACTTCGGGTTTGTTTCCATGGGCCGTGGATCGTTTCGCAGCTATCAACCACCAACCTCCTTCTGGAAAGAGACCAGAAAACCAGGTCTCTTGAAGACTTGGATGTTTTTTGGAGCGAGACTGTTTGTGGGAGATTCCGCAAAGGTCATAGAAACTCCTGCAGGTTGTGGTATTCAGTCTAAGGGTGTAGAATAAAGCCTCCCTCCAAAACCAACCGAGCAACTTCTGAGTGAGTGCGAGACCCCCCGCAAATGGTCTCGAAAATCACTGAGCCAAGCCATGTGGACAGCTCTTTGCTGCTTGGGCGTGGATGAAAAATCGGCACCCGAAATGGCTTGCCCTGACTAAAACCTGCGGCCCAATTCTCGGTGGCTGAATTTTGACCCATACCATATGTGCCCTTCGCATCTCCGAGACGAGGCGAAAGCTGCAAAATGTGAGCCGAGTGCCTGGTCGCCTAAGGGGCATTGAAAGAAGGATCACTAAACTTTCACCCATAAAGTCCCTAAACTTTTTGTGTTTGCCACTAAAATGGTCCCGACCCAAGAAGGTTGAAGCCCATGAACGCAGGGAATGAGACAAGAGGACTGGAATGCGACCAACAGACGAGCTCGCGGCTTTTTCGCCGCTCGGCGGATCTCGGGTCCGAAGCTGGCTCTTTGGCCGTCGCCCGGCGGGGATGGGGTCCGCCACGCCGCGTGCCAAGGGAAAAACCGCGCGGCGCCAAAGGCTGTGGTGGTCCAAAACATGTAATAATATCCAACCAGCTGAAAAGGTCTCTAGTTTTGAGAGTCATGTAAGAGTTGTTTCTAAATTCCGAATACTAAACTCCTTTCAAGGACCTTTAGAACAACTCCCACGTAGTGGGCTTGCTTCTTCTAGGTCCTCCAGAGTTGAGAGGTTGGAATAAGGGAACCGGCTTTTTAGTAGGGGAACCCTCCCAACCAAACAAGGTGAGAAAGGGCACTACTGGGGGACCTAGTATCGGTACCCTAAAATGGCGTAAAAGCTCCCTGGTAAATGGAACCAAGTTGACGAAAAGCTGCGGTCCACTGGGGATCACTGTTTGATTCGTCGCGCTGCGGCACTTGCGAACACACGAGCTTGGTCAAGCCCGAGCGGCCATACCGTCCCAGGCTGGGGGAAGCGGGCGTCTCCATCTGGGTCCAGAGAGGTGTTATCAAAGGCGCAACACAAACACATTGACAACAAACAATTGTCTTGAAACAAATGCTGCTAAGAAATTCATAGGGCTGCAACCCGCTCACAGACCTGGACTCTGTCGACCCATTTTATGGCCCTCCCCACTGTCGCTCTCTCTTGAGGTCCATCCTTTGGAGGCCTGAAAACTTTGTTTGCTTCGGATGCCCGAGGCTGTGGGATGATTCAAAAGCTCCTAAGCCGCCTCCGCTTGAAAACGTGACACTTCCGGCCGCATTCACTCCCGCTTCGCCGCATGTCCGTGTCGCGCCTTCGGCGGCACGCTCGGCGCGCTCGCGCTCGCGCTGGCCGCGCGGACCCAGCGCCGGCGCCGCGCGGCCGCGGCGAGAGCCGCAAGACCCGCGAGGGCCAGGCCGAGCGCCAGACCGCGGCCGGGGCGCGTCGCCAAGGGCGGCCGGCTGGGCTGCAGGGGCGGCACGGCATCGGCCCAGACGTCGATGGCATGGAGCATGGCCTGCTTCAAGGTAGAGCCTCTGGTGGCGTTGGGATGCACCAGGCAGGTGAACAATGCCGAGACCATGGGGTGGATCAGATCCCCCATGTCACGTCTGAAGGCATCCATGTGTCGCACCGCGTTGCCCCACATGGCGATGTCCATGCACGCCTTACGCCGGATCCGGGCGATTCAAGCTGCAATATGCTTAAACAACCCCCTTGCCCTTCCAAAAGGAATTGGGCCAAGGGCAGATTACTCAAACAAATCTTGTCCACCCAAACCCGCAAAAAGTGGGTTGCCAGGCAAGGGGGAAAAAAAAGGTACAGACTTTGGGGGTTGATCAATATTCCTGGCCCTCAAATGACCACGGGTAACTCTTCCCATTTAGTGGGAAAACCCTCTTTTTTGTGGGTTTTCCCCCCAGGTAAAGGACCGCTTGATGAGCAACCTGAGATGAACCATGGTGAGCTTAGTTTGCCCCCCAGCCAGTGAGCTCGCTCACCCTGCTTTCTTCAACCCCACACTTGTCGTTTGAAGCTTTTGGTTGGGCTACAACCAGTTCTGGAAGTAACCCGCAGTACAGGGATGCACTTGGGCCGTGCTGACTTTATCACATAATTTGAACCACCTCCCTCTTCTGCACTGCCGTTCAGAAATTGTAAGACTGTCCTTTGATGGGTTCAGCTAGCGCAAGGTACATAGCACAATCCCCCTTTGTGTGGATGTGTTTTTGAGGGTGCCCCTTTTTTCATAAACAAAACCACAACTTGGGGGCCCCAAATCCTGACAACAGAAACACCCACGTGGGTAAAAGGGATGCCGAGATGGGCCACCCAAACCCAAACCCAAACCCTTCACACGCCACCCACACCCAAAACTTCACCCACACCCAAACCCACGCCCAAACCCACACCCAAACCCACACCCAAACCCACGCCCAAACCCACACCCAAACCCACTTCACCCACCCCACCCCCCCACCCCACCACCCCACCCCCGCACCACCCCCCCCGCCACCCCCACCCCCCTCGCCTTGCGCCGGATCTCCGCCTCGTCAAAGGCGGCGGTGCCCTCCGCCGCCACCACGTCGGCGCCGATCTCCTGCAGCACGCCCTCCAGGTGGGAGCTGCCGTAGACCGAGCGCAGCACGTTGGACAGCACCTGGGGAGTTGAGGGGGGTTGGAGGAGGGGGGGTCGAGGGGGGGGGTTGGGGGGGTTGATGGGGGGGGTAGAGGAGGGGGTTGGGGGGGTTGAGGAGGGGGGTTGAGGAGGGGGTTGGGGGGGGTTGGGGGGTTGGGAGTTGGGGGGTTGAGGAGGGGGTTGAGGGTTGGGGGGTTGGAGGTTGGGGGGGGAGGGGGTTGGGGGGTTGAGGGGGGGGGTTGGGGGTTGGGGGGGGGGGTTGGGGGGGGGTTGGGGTTGGGGAGTTGGGGGGTTGGGGGGGGGTTGAGGGGGGGTTGGGGGGGGGGTTGGGGGGTTGGGGGTTGGGGGGGGATTGGGGGGTTGGGGGGGTTGGGGGGGTTGGGGGGGTTGGGGGGGGGGGGTTGGGGGGGGGTTGGGGGGTTGGGGGGGTTGGGGGGTTGGGGGGGTTGGGGGGGTTGGGGGGGTTGGGGGGGTTGGGGGGGTTGGGGGGTTGGGGGGGTTGGGGAGGTTGGGGGGTTGGGGGGCCGGAGGGGGTGGGGGGTGGGACAGCAAGTCCCAAGAGTCACAATCAAAACCGATTGGTACTAAAATGGTCGATCCCCAGCACCATGCTTCCAGGATTAAATGTCCGCACTATTTATGGTTGGTCTACCCGGGTTTTGTGGCTCAATGACAAGTAGTTTCAGCTTGGGTTCGCGACTCGACCCCTTGCGAATCTACGATAGGATCCTTGTGATCGGTGCGATAGGTAGGGAATGACCGAGTCCAGGTGTTGGGAATGAACCGTTTGGGGATTCCCTAAAAGGAAACCATAGGGGATGGTTTATAGCAGTCATTCCCTCATTCCCTGCTGAGAACCATCAAGCCAGGAGGCGCAGGCACCCAGGCACCCAACGTGACAGAACCAACTTGGGTGCTGAACCAAGGAAAGCCACAAACTCCTTGACCTACTGTTGATGGTTGCAAAATCCATCCAACGCACAACCTCCTAAGCATCTCTGGTTTATGATTCCCCAACGTAAATACCAACAAACGTTATGGTTTCAACCATGGTTTCAAAGTGGTGCAGGATTTCGTCCATCCACAGCACGGACCACCCAAGTTTCTACATTCCAGGTCAGACCTCGGTGCCGGTTTGCCCTTGTTGGACGAGGGGGGGGTCCCTTCAAAATCAGCTACTTGGGTGTTCAATCAACAGAAGGGGACGACCACCCCAGTTACACCAGTAATTATAACCTACTTCGACCACCTTGATTGGGTTTCGAACCCTTCAAAACATGTGGTTAAACTGTGTTGATGCAAGTGATACCTTCCCACCGGGCTTTCCCACCAGGTCTCAAGTTCATGTGTCGAGAACCTTCAAAATGCCACCCGCTTTTAAGGGAACAAATAAACAGGTACAGTGTGAGTGTCTTCAAACAGAGAACTCCCAAAGTTGTTCTTTTCCCTAAGGCTTTCCGTTGAAACCACGCCACAAGGTACCACCTGTTCAATCACTGCCGACGTGTGGTATGTAAGCAGAAAGACTTTGTCCGGTGCAGCCCAAAAAAACCGAACAGGACCAAACAAGCAAGCACAAGAAATGTGGCACCAACACGACAGTGCACTGGCTCCTTGTTCAAATGTTACACAAAGTAAAGCTCGCTTCCTGAGTGGCTTGGCCACAAAATGTCCGAACTGTTTGTGCAAAGCCAAAACAGTCCAGATCCAAACAGTATAAACACAGCTTCTCTGTGTGTGTGTGTGTGTGTGTATGGCCCAGGGCGTGACCACAGCAACCAAGAGTATAAAGCCCAGCAACCCAGGAAGTGAGGCTTTTGTTTCCCCTTCGTCTCAGGGAAACCAGTCTGTGCCACGTGCAATGCTACCACCATTGTTTCTTCTTTGGGGGGCCTGCAAGGCGCAGCTACAATGGGAAACCCCGGATTCCCAAATCCCACTTGGTGGCTCTCCCTGGTTTCGAGATTTTTCCACCACTCTTGGAGGGGTGTTCTCCCCCCCCCTGCACCCCCCCCCCAAAAAAAAAGCACGGTTGGCCCGGGCTAAAACCCCACCCCACCCAGAGGCACGGAAGTGTCGGCCCGCCGGGCGTTCACGGCTCCGGGCCCGCCCTGGCCATTCTCGCCCTCGTCGTAGCCACCCACCTGGCTGTGGCCCAAACAACCAGCACCAAAATGGAACCCTGGTAAGTGGAAACATGGAAACCAAAACCTGCATAACCCCATCCTGTCTAATTTTGAGCCACACGTCGGGCTCCAAGGACGAGGCGGGAGGGGGGGAGAGAGGGGAGGGGGGGGGGATGGGGGGGGAGGGGGGGAGTTCATTTTGTTGCCCGACAAAGAGCCACCAGAGCCACCCCAAAACCAACCGGGGGTAAGTACCATCACAAAAACAACACTTTCCTTCCATGGATCCTTTCCATGGAAAAGGCACCGAGAGAGCCCCAAAAACCCGGGGCCTTCAGGAAAAGCCACAAAACCCTAGGTCCTCCAGTAGGGGAGATTCGGTTCCCCGACTAAAATAGACTGCAGAACAAAACGTGGGTACCTTATTCTAACCGCTAACCAAAAAAGAGGGTAAAAGAGAAATTGCACCCAGCTGGGGCACCTAGTCTCGGTTCTTCCTAACCCCCCCCCCCCCAGAATCGGTTCTTCCCAAAAACCGGGCGGGACCGGAATCCGGAACCCCCACCCACCCGGTGTTTGTCGCCTCCAGCAGGCCGTCGAAGTACTTGCCGCTCTTCAGCAGCATGTTGGTGATGCCGTCCCCGAAGCTGGCCACGGAGATGTCCTCCGGCACATCCGTCTGGATGTGCTGCACAATGAAGGCCAGCTGCTCAAAGAAGCTCGCCTGCCTCGGAGGGCTGAGGGCTGAGGGGAAGTGCGGTTCGCTTCGGGGCTGGTGTGCCAAAGTGAAGCAACAGTATCCTCAAAAATATGGAAATGACCCATCTCGATCTCGGTCATCTACCCTCACGCCAATGAACATGGAACCTGACAGAAGGTTTCTTTTAAAAGGGAAATGGTCAACTGTCAGGTTCCATCTTAATTGGTGGGAGGGTACAGGGAACAAGGAACCAAGTTGGGTTCGTTTTATATATTTGGAACTCCAAAGGCCTCATACACTGGAAGTCCTCCGCAAAGGTGGTTGCAAGCCCCACCTGCTGCCTTCCAATCACCTCCAACGTGGCCGCATAGGTCAAGTAGCCCTCCCTCTGCACCGAGCTCACCGCCCGGTAGTCCGAGTACAGCTGGTCCCACTCCTGGGACGTCTGGCCCGAGCCGTAGTTCCCCTCCGCCAGGTTGCCCACGAAAGTCCGCAGGGCGGCGGTCAACTTGTCCAAATCCTCTCTGCTGTCGTTCGCGCCCTTGCGGATCAAATCCTTCACCTTCTGCAAAATCGCCTCGGGGGATTTTAGATCGCAGTCCCGGCGATGCGGGGAAACATGGAGAAACGCCCCAAGAAAATGAGGCTGCCAGTGGAAAAGCCATGAACCTCTGACAAAACAAGTATGCCGCACTATTTGCACAGGCAAAGACAAGCCAAAGGAATCCCCCGATATCGAACATCACAACAGAAACCGAAACCCCTTGCCCAAAAACCAACTAAGCAAAAGGATCGACTCGGGCTGTGATTCCTCTACCTCCGGCAAGATGACTTATGTTCCCCAGCTAGCAAGAGATGGGTGGTTCGCACATGCCTCTTCCCAAGTGAGCCGCAGACTCTCTTCCAAGGTCCAAACTACCCTTTGCAAGGATTGTCCCGCTGCCCTCACACATACTGCTTGATACACCACTACTGCCAAGCTGCTTGTAAAACAAATTGTGGGCATCATGGGCTTTCCGAGCATAACACTTGCAACTCTACCTAGGATCCTTCTTTCACCCAAACTCTCGTCCATGCAAAACTCGGGCGGACTTCAAGTTTTGCCGCGGGTTGGCCACCATTTACTCATACAGCAAGCAACAAACTAAGCCAACCAACCAACCAACCAACCAACCAGCCAGCCAGCCAGCCAACCAACCAAG